ACAAGAAGCTCGAACGAGCAATTTTACCCTGCACAAACCGAATTGTTCCTAGTAGCTTCTTTGTTACTACTAGCGTGGCACTTGTTACTAGCGTGAAGTGTCGGTCTCGTTTGTTCGCAGTTCCGCCATGTTTCGCCTTCACCTGCGCTTCAACTGAAGCTTCTCCTCCATCCTGATCCACGCAGCTTCTGATTCACAAGTGCTCGGCCATCGTGGCCATCGGAGACGAAACAATGAAGGGAGGCCATCGGTTACGTTTCCCATGCCCTGGAACCGAATCAATTAGGTTCTTCAAAGAAACTCTGTTCCCGTCTTTCAGGCGGCGAATCGCCTACTTAAGAAGTACGCTACCCAACCACTGCATTTGCCTACTTGGTCACTTGGCTTATGTTATCGGCGTTTCCCGAGCTAAGAATTCTTTTCTTTTTTGGACGCCTTTTTCAAGTCGCGCCTCTTCCTCGGAGAAATCTGGCAGATCAGGCAGGTCAGCGAGGTCAGGAACCTCCAACTGAATCCTCTTCGATCTTTTTGCGTTTTGACAAACCAAGATGGTAGCAAATGGCGTCGCTACTAGGAGCAAGAAGCTACTAGTGGCTCCTGGCCTTACTACTAGGAACAAGAGGACGCTAGTAGAGAAAATCGAACGAGATTTCTCGGCGCATTGGGTTCCAGGCATTCTGTGTTTCGGTCTGTCTTCCTGCCAAATGGATTGTTTTATCTTCGCCAAAAATAACGGCACATGTTATGGAAAACGCGTTGTGACCTCCAACTCTCTGCCAATCATATTCTGACCTCAGAGTCGGGACAGCGGATTCACCATCGACGTACTTTGCTTGCTCAGTGTCCTGCTCCTCGGCATGCCTTGCCACACCACCACCCTCAGTGGGGGCAAATCGTTCGAAGGCACAGAAGTCATGTCATCTGAAACCAACAACAAACACAACAATTCTCAAATTCCCGGTTTGTCTAGCAAAGTCTCAAAACGGGTAGGCTACATACCCACAAACGGTCAAAACTCCGGCGTGCTGCCACCATACTTGACTTTTGATTACGCCTTTTCTGTCTCTTTATAACACAAGACTTGTAGCTGTGGAACACCTCAACCGCACAGCCTGAAATTACAGAAAAACCGACAAATGCGAGGATCTTCCCAAAAGGCAGAAAGAAAGACACATGGAAAGCAAGAATGCAAGTTCAACATTTCTAGTAGTAACAAGTGCCACGCTAGTAGTAACAAAGAAGCTACTAGGAACAAGTGCATCGCTACAATTCTTTATTGGCGCCCAACGCAAGTTGGGAATGGCTTCCCAACAGTCTCGGTTGCAACACAGGAATTGCCGGTTTGGCCCCCGATTTCCTGCCGGCTAGAGCCGGACATTTGGGACGAGTACTTTCTCGAAACGAAAAAAAGCATCAAAGGTTACGTAAGCGGTCTCCTAATAGCGTCCTCTTGCTCCTAGTAGCGGTCTCAAATCCTTCTACCTGAAGGTCTATTCTTTCAAGCAAAGACCTGCGAAGATGTCTCCTAGTAGCCTCTTGCTCCTAGTAGTAAGGCCAGGAGCCCGTAGTAGCGTCTTTACTCCTAGTAGAGGATAGCAGTCATCGGTTCTGGTCTCATGGGAGTCTTTGGTTCGCCTGACACCCCCTCCGCTGGCTTGCCAAGCGGCCCTCAGCGTGCGAGGGGCCTCAGCAAGTATTCTTTCCAGGATTCAGTTTCCCTGAGTGATGCCCTTTGTTACTAGTAGCTTCTTGTTCCTCGTAGTAAGGCCAGGAGCCCCTAGTAGCGTCCTTGCTCCTAGTAGCGATGCCCTTTGCTCCTGAAAGTTTCTTGTTCCTAGTTTCTTCAGTTTCCCTGAGTGATCGTAGTTCAAGCGCTTCAAGAAGGAGCTATTCTGCGTCCGTAGCTTCACTAGTAGGCTAGTCCTGACGCAATTTAGCTGCGTCGAAGCACCGCCTAGTCAGCGCGGCCGCGGACGATGAATCTCTGTTCGTCCGCCTTTCTATCCCCGCACCGATTGGATCTACGGCCATTCGCCGGCTTTGTGAAGAACAGCTTGCGCAAAGGAAACGGAAACAGCTCGGAGTCAGTTGCCGAACAAGCAGAAGGGCTTGCGCAGAATGCGTGCGCCGTCGGTCTGACATGCACCTGGCACCCGTCGGTCGAGAGACAGCACATAAGCTGTCACCCCGCTGACAGCGCTCACAACGGCCTGAAAGGCATCCTTCACAAGTGACGACAATTCGAGACAAGAACGAGAAGTGATCACCGCCAGTGCAAGGGCACATGTGGACAGCAGTTTAGAATGTCTACATGGAGAAGAGCTTAAGGAATGCATGAATCGATGACGGATTTTTTTCTCTGAGCGGCATTTGCTCACAGAAAGAATCCGCCGAAAGCTGAGCCTCTTTCTCCGAGTGTTCCGAGGGCGTTGCAAAGGCCGGCTTCGGGTCTTCCGGTCTCGTGGATGGAGTTGAGCGTTGAGCCGTGAACAGCGCATAGCATTTGTCAATACTCAAAACGGCACGCCATTGGTCCACAAGGACAATGCCGTTGGCGTGGACCGATGAATGAATCTTGAGGAAGGGAATCTGGAGAAACGAACTGCTGAAGACCAAAGCAGAACTGCAGGTCTGCAGCTATACGTCTGCATGCGAGAAAGGCATGTGAAAGTTCCAGAAATCTCACGAACATCAAACCGATGACGTGGATCTGACGGCATGTGAGGCTTGCTCATTCGGCTTCACAGAGTTCACCACACCTGTCACTCTTTTTGTTGTCTGGTAGTCTGAACGAAACCGCCGCCGACAAGAACGCAAGCAACAAGTTACCCCAAAAGACTCCAATCAGCATGAAGCAAAAGGCAAAGGTGAATGAACGAACTTCTGCACTCTAGAGTACACACACATGAGAGAACACATACGTGAGCATCACATGAGAGAAGACATGGGCTTCTAGTAACAAGAAGCTATTAGGAACAAGTGCATCGCTACTAGTAACAAGTGCCTTACTAGTAGTAACAAGGACGGCTACTAGGAACATAATATGGTTCATAGACCGCACCGAATCCGACGAATTCGTAGCAGAATCCGTCCACAAGTTCACGAAATCTGCACTTGGCACTTGAGCGTGCTCTGATCTCGCAGATGCAGTGAAGCTTGAACTTGTCGCTCTATGTTGGTGTTTTTTCGGTTTTCAGAATTTCTTGGTAAACGAAAGTAATAGGCTCTATATGTGTGCTGCCTGCTCTCATTTGCGTCCTCTAAAGCGCAGAAGTTGACTTATTCACCCTTGTCTTGTTCTACTTCACACTGTTTGGAGTGACTGGTGCCACAAAGCAGTATTGATGGGATGGAGACCGAAGCGTTTGTGAGGCAATTGGTGAAAGGAAACAAAGAGCAAAAGGAAACAAAGAGCACAACTCCGGCGTAGTAGCGTCCTTGCTACTAGTAACAAGTGCATTACTACTACTAGTAAGAAGCTACTACTAGTAGCGATGCCCTTGCTCCTAGTAGCGAAACCAAAGAGCACAACTCCGGTGTCATCAGAAAATCAACTCTCTTTCTGTCTCGTGAAAGTCCAAGCCCATCAGTTGATGGCAAGCAGTCGCTGGTTGTCAACAGTTCCGCTGCAGGAAAGCGAAAGAGTGTGCACAAGTGACCAAAGAATATACCAGGAGGAACGTCATCAGTGTAACTAGTGTAACGAGGTCAGACCAGCTGTCAGAGTACAATCACAATTTTTCATGAGCTTGAATTTGTGTGGAGTCTTACAAAGTAGATTGGAGGCCATCGTTGGAGGCCATCGCTAGTAGAAACAAATAAAATAGAATAGGAATAAAGTCAGAAACACATAATGATTCAGTTCACAAATAAACTGTTCCTGAGCTGCCAGCAGGCACGAAAGCAGCTCCCGCAAGCAAGGCGACAAATAAACAACTCTTGACCTGCGGAGAGAAAAACCAGCCATGCACACGGTACTGCACATATAGGAACAAGAAGCTACTAGGGGCTCCTGGCATCGCTACTAGGAGCAAGGACGCTACTAGGGGCTCCTGGCCTTACTACTAGTAACAAGAGGACGCTACTATTCTTTCTTTCTGTCTGCACATATACCTCCGCCCTCGCTATTCAGCTCGGCCTGTCGTTTCGACACTCCTCAGGCAGCGACAAGATTGAACAAAATAAGACTCCCAAGAAAAGAAGGAGAAACAAGAAAGAAATAGAAGCAAGAAATTGAAAGAAAGAAAGAAAGACAGAATAGTAGCTTTATTGTTACTAGTACTAAGGCCAGGAGCCCCTAGTAGCGTCCTTGCTCCTAGTAGCGATGCCAGGAGCCCCTAGTAGCTTCTTGCTCCTAGAAGAAAGAAACAGAGTCGTCACAAGAGAATCTCACAAAGGAGCTCCTCTCATTGCTTCGAGACTTCAAGCCTTCACGATCCCACACGGAGCAGGCCAAATGCTTTGCACGGTGGAACGTTTTAATTTTGCGCAACTATGGCAACAAGTAATTGATGTTTTCCGAAAACACTAGAATAACATGTTCAACATATTTTCCTATGGAATTTGCCTGGCTTATTGACATGGCATGACTTCTGGTGCTGTTTGAGTTAAATTTGAGCCTCTGACGTCTGAAATTCGGTCACAGCGATCGAAACATGTGGATGAGAAGTCCTTGACGAACCAGCTGTAGCTATTACTTACCAATGAGTCCTTGCTCCTAGTAGCTTCTTGCTCCTAGTACGGCCAGGAGCGCCTAGTAGCGTCCCTACTCCTAGTAGTAGGGCTAGGAGCCCCTAGTAGCGTCCTTGCTCCTAGGAGCCCCTACTAGCATCCTTGTTACCAATTATCAGATTTTGAGCTGCTTTCGAAGGCCATTCGCCAAAGAGCAACACATATGTTTTCTTCTCGAACAGGCTTGTGCTCTGTGCGGGCATTGCGGCAAGCATTGCTGCGCACATTGCTGCTGTTGCTACGTGAAACACCGTCCCGAAGCAAAGTGTTGTAGATGTAACTTCGTACTTATTAGTTCTCTCGTTTTGAACTCAAGATCAATTGTGTTTCTCGCGTGTGACACAAAAAAAAACCGTTTTCTTTCATCACTTCATCGACTTTAGTCCTCGTCGGAATCAAAGGTGGTATGCACCTGCCATTCCAAAATCTGAGTCAACTTAGTTTTCTCAAAACCCAAAAGAACACGTTTTCAGCAAACCTTGAAACAGTTGCAAACAAGAATGGGAAAAAATCAAGTCTTGCGTGTCCTTTCTTCGCAAAAATCATCCTCAACATTCTAGCCGCCGGAATGGGTTCAATCACGATGAACAAACTATAACAAATTACGTATACGTAATGTCAACATCGTATTAACCAACCCCCCCTATTAGTCTACCCAGGGTTCAGGCCCCAATAATAAACTAATTTGAACTACTAATTTTCACAATGACCACCCTCTAATAACTTTTTTTCTTGGCTGAAACCCCCCCCTATTAGTCAACCCACTGTCCCCCCAGGAAAAATATAATTATTCAAATATATATATATATATATGTTTAATTAGTTTTATTATTTTTCCTTTTTTCAATATCTTTTGGTCCATGGTGAAACTGATCTTCTGATCCACTCTTTTCCCATGCCATCTCTTGAGAGATAGCATTCTGATCCACCCTTCTCACATGCCATTTGGCATTCTTCCAGCTGATGCTCTCATCCATCCTTCTTATCATCCTTCTCATCCTTCTCCTGCATCTTCTTCTCATGATTCCCAGCAGCAATCTGTGCAGCCATTGTATACTCATATGGGATCTTCCTGCCCATCCTCTTCCCCTCCTTCCTCATCCAATAGGCAGTGCATTTCCACACATTGCATTCCATACACCCACTGGAATACCTGCACTTGCCACATACCCCAATCCCATCCAACTCAATCTTGGTTTTGGCTTTCAAATAGGCTGCTGGGAGCTCATCCACCCTCAAAGCACCACCCTCATTCACCAATTTCCAAGCATCCTCCTGCATCTTATTCAACTTCTTATGCTCTTCCTTCATCTTCCCAGCCAATGCTGCAATCTTCTCTCTCTCCAACCTCATCTTCTCCCCATGTGCCTTGTCCTTCTCATCCTGCTTCTTCAAATCCTCAATCCTCTTATTCCTCTCAACTTGCAGCTGCTCACCCAACTTCCTCATCTTGCTGATCCAATTCTGGGCAGCAACCCATGGCCATCCAATGGCTGCTGGCCCATACCCCATGGCTTCAGCAACTTCCTGCTCCATATAAGCCAATACAAATACACCACATTGATTGGATCCCTTCTTCTGCCTTATCACCCCATTGTTCCTCTCTAGGGATGGCCTATCCAAGAACTGCTCATGAATGATGCCCAAACTCAGCAATGAAGCCAATAGCAATTCAGCACTATCCTTGGATAAATCTGATGGTATTTCCAATGTCTCATAGTACCTCACCTGCCTATCAAAAGGCACATCCTTCCTGAGATCCAATACCAGCAAGGTCCAATGCCCACCAGCTGGGATGGGGATCAGGAAGAGCTTCATCTGCAAATAGCCTTTTGGCATGCTCTGATACCTTCTCCCAAGGTGCCATCAAGTCCTTGTTCCCATGCTCATTCTGCTGATGGCCAATGAGGCTGTAGCTCATGGAAGGGTGCATGAACCTCACAGAATCCAACTCATTCATGCTCTTCCCATTGAAGACCACCCTGAGCAAGGCCCATCCCAAAACCAATGTTTGAGTATCAATCCCATCCTCCTTGATACTCTTCTCTGATATGACCTCCACACCACCATTCTGATCAATATAGTCCAGGTCCAATGTGTATAGCCCAGCCTCATAGAGCATTTGCAGCTTCACATCCCTGGTCATACTCAGCTGAGGCCATCTCCACACCTTCTCATCCCCCCTTACCTTGGTGATCCATTCTTTGTTGACCCATGCCTTTCTGTCACCCTTATTCCTCCAATCCTCCTCCAATACCAAATGGACCTCATCTTCACCAACCCCCAATGCTTCACCCTGCCTCCCATACAGGGTTTGTCCAGCAAGCTCATTGGTGACCCTGATCTTCCCCTCCCATCCATCTGGGGGTGCAAATGCTGGTGGTGGCAATGGGACATTGGCTTCATCCTTGCCTTTCTCATCCTTTTTATCCTCCAATGGAAGCTTCTTCTGCTTAGATTTCTTATCATCCTGCTCATGCTTCCCATGCTTTGCATCCTCCAACGCATTCTTCTCTAATGCCTTTTCCTTCACCTTATCCCCCAATGCCTTCTTCTTCATTTGCTTCTGATAGTGCTTCTTCACCTTTTTCATGAAGCTAATCTTCTTGTCCTTCTTCTTATTCTGTGACCCCTTCCTGGTAGCTGATGGCACCATTGAACTCAACACCTCATGCCTGCTTCTCTCCTGCAGCTGATCTCTGATGGCTTTCTTCTCTTGATCATCCAATCCCTTGGCAGCATCTCTCATAGCTTTCCTTTTCTTCACTTTCTTATCCTTCTGCTTCCTCTTTTCTTTTGCATCATCGCTCATCACACTCTCCCTCTGCAGTGCTGCCTTCCTATAGGCCAATGGCAGTTGAAATTGGCTGGCCTGCACCCATTCTGGTGTGTTCTCATCAGCAATTCCTGGAATGTCAGCATCTTTGTACCAATCTTGATCTGAATGATACATCCATTCAACCAAATCAGCCAATTCCTTGGCCCCTTGAATCCTTGTCCAATTGGGAGGTGTGATAACCCCATGCTTCTCCACATGTGCCAACCTATTCTTCAACCATCCCTCATGAATCCTGTCACTTCCCAGTGGCATATCCTTTGCCCATGGCTCCTCACCACACCACTTCATGATCCCATCCCTCCCTGGCCTCATAGCCAGGAACCCATTCCTCCTGAGCCCTTTCAGCACCCATTGCCTCTCATTGTTTTTCTGAACCATACCTTCCATACCTTCATGTAGGCACTGGGCAATGTCCTTCATGCTCATGTGATACACCTCACTGGTGCCCATGGCCTTCTGATTCTCTGCCATGATCTTATCAACAGATTTCCTGATCAAGCTCTTAAACACATAGCTGAAATCTGTATCAGTCAATTGCATAATAGCAGTCATCTTGGGAGGAATGATTGCCTGAATCTGATGCGCAGTAAACATAGTCCTCATTGTATCATCTGAAAATGATGCTGCAAAGCAATCCCTCTGATAAATGGATGCTGGATACATCCTGGCCTGCTTTGCAATCACCCAGCTCATGATCACATTGTCCTGATTGGAGCTGGGTTGCGAATAGACATCATAATGCTCCAATAAATGAGGATGATCCCTTCTGATCTTGACCCATTGCTCCAATGCCCTCCTGGCACTCTCACCCTTCCTATGCACCTTCATCTCCCCCAAATAGGAGAATGTCTCATCCTCAACCCATCTCCCATTGTCATCAATGTTGTCCAATCTCGCATGTTGCCCAGGTACTATCAGCACACCCTTTCCCACATGTCCAATGGGATCCTCATCAGGATTGAAGAAGTTGCTCACCAGCTGATGTGCCTCAAAAGTAACCCTCATCTTCTCAGTTGCTGAATCCTTCTTGATAGTCAAATGAGCCCTTCCCCCGTCCTTTTGATCCTCAGTGGTGACCAATTGCCAATCTTGCTTCTTCTGATCCTCATTGGGCTCCTTATCTTCCAATGCTGCTTGGCTCTCATTGGGGTTCTCACCTTCCAATGCATCATGGTGCTCAGCCTCATCCACCAATTTCTTATCATGGGCTTGCTTGTTGAGCTCATTTTGAAGATCCCTCCTGATCTGTTTGATGGGTTTCCCATGTGTCCTTGTCTCATGGGCTGCAAATACAGCCTTAGTTGATCCCTTTTTCACCCATACAGGAACCTGATCTGAGAATCCAAGCATGCAGCTCATCTTGTTGGCCTTGACCTCATCAGGCTTTGCCACATAGTGCTTCAGATCTTCATGTCCCATGGACACAAGGCTCATCAGATAGTCATGATGCTGCCATGCCAATTCTGCTCCAATCTGCTGCTCCTCATTGGACAGTGGTGCCAATAGATTGGGGGTCATATGCTTGGCACCAATAGCATCCATAATCCTCTTAGCAAATCTTTCTCTTTGCTTATATCCCCCAGCAATACTCTTCATCTGGGATTCAGCCCTGCCCAACTGATTCATGCATAGAATCCTCTCTGGCCCCTCATCCAGCTCATCCCTTTGCTTCTCAAGCATTGTCTTCTCATCTGATAGCAGCTTATAATACCTCCATGCTAGATCCATCTTCTGAACCCCATGACCATGACTCCTTTCCATTTCAAGCCAACCCTTCACCTCATCATACAAGTGTGGAAATTGTCTCTTGGCACCACCTCCTGATGCCCTCAATCTCATTTTGTCCCCACCTGATGCCTTCTTCCCTCTGCTCAACCCACTGGTATCCTTTCTGATATATACTGATGAGCTTTGCTCATGCTTCAACATCTCTTTTGCCCATTTGGACTTCTCATGATATATGTCCCTCAACTTATCACTTCTCATCTTCAGCTGCTTGCTGAAATGCTTGAACAAATCAAGCTCATCTGGGAATTCTGACCTTGCCCCATCAAGCTTCTTGCAAATCTCATGCTTGGCTGATAGTGGTAACTCCCACCTCCTTGGCTTCTCATGTTTTTTCCTCATATTGGACGTGGATCCCCCATGGATTCCTCTCTTCATATGCTTTGGCACATAAGGTCTTCCCCCTTTCTTTCCCTCATGTCCTTGATCCTTTCCATGATGCCCTTGTTTCATTGGCTCATTGGCTGATACCTTCTCTGCAATGTTTGCAACAGAAGTCTCATTCAAACTCACCCCCTCCAATTCACCAGATTCAATCAGCTGCCTGATGGTATCTTTCACTGATTGCCTCTTTCTCATGGCAGGTTCTGCATTGTCCACCACATCCCCATCATCACTCCCAGGGCTAAAGAACCTTTTGATCCCCAATTGCTTCTTCTTTGCTGATGAGTCTGATTCCCCCTTGTTCATAGAAGAAGGTGGGCTCATGGAAGGTGCTGATGAAAATGATGAACTCCTCATAGTCTTAATCTTCTTGGATGTTGGTGTCTTCATGCCCTCATCTCCACTCTTCTCACCACCACCCCTCAGCTGCCTCACACTGCTCATCCAACCTTCTGATTGCTTCCCCTGCAGGCTCATGCTACCAACCATTCTGATTGATTACCACTGCTCTCCCAAAGCAACAGTTTTCCTAGAATTTCCAAAAACTCTCTAGGAAAATTCTTTTATTTTCCCTTATTAAAACTCTATCAAAATCTTCAATTTCAGAAGCTCAGAAAGGCTACTACCCCCCATACACCCCCTACCCCCCTCTAATAGTGGGGTACCCCCCCCTATTAGTCAACCCCATCCTCTGGCCTCCATCTTGGCTTCATTCTCTTTCATTCTGCATTCCTCATCTTTCTTTTCCAAATCTTCCCAATCAAAAAATGGATTGGTGGCATCACCAAATGGTTTCCCAATAGTCTCATCAAATGGACTGCCATGGTTTCCCCATTCAGTTTCCTTCCCATCCAAAGCTTCCCAATCAAAGAACTGATTGGACACTTCCTCATACACCTCAAAGTGCTCATCAAATGGAGCACCACTCTCATCATACACATCCAAGTGCTCATCAAAAGGAGCACCACTCTCATCATACTCATCATTGTCACTCATGCTCTCACCAAGCACCTCATACCTATTCATGGTTGCAATAGCAAATGTAGACATCTTGCCCAATGCCAGGGATGCAATATACCTATGAGGCTTCTTGAACCCAAGCTCTCCATACATTCATAGATTAACTAGCTAATATATAGATATATGTGTTCAAAATCCATGCTCATACATAATTACTGCGCACAAGCCAATGCACCCAATGTCTCCTGGGAAAAAGAGTATATATATACACAAATATGCCAATACTTTAGTAGGATGCTTCTCATGGACACATGGATCCCATCAAACCAATCTCCTGGTGTCACCAATCTCTACCCATCCCCACCAATCCACTCATTTCTTTTTTGCTGTTGGGAATGAAATACCCAATCAGTTCTCATTCCAGCTCACCTCATTGAAAAAGAATCAACATATATAAATATCATAGTTCTCATGCACCAAAAATACTTCTCATGAACCCTAATTACTCATGAACATCTGAACACCAATCAGCCCATCAATCCATTGCAGCGCTCATGGCTGCAATCCTGAGATGGGCCCATGATGGATGTTGAGGCATTGAGCTCATCCAAAAATGTTGCTCATCTTCAAATGGAGCCATGTGGCTGAGCCATGATTGGCATACACAAATAGCCTCATTGCAAATAGACAAACAACCTCATGCCTAATTAATCATAGAGGTGATGGACTGATACAGTCAATTATATGTGATTCACCCATTCATGGTATAAGCGCACCTACCTCATTCTAGCATGCCAATCTCATTCCTCAGCCAAAAGCCCATAGGCTCATCACCTGGCTGATCCAGGTGATCCCTTATCTTTAAGGGTGGCCTTCTTCTGGACCATCTTCTCATAGAGCATCATGAACTCATCTTTCTTATAGATCTTGCTCCTGAGATGGCACATAGCTCCATTAATGACCAAATGGAATCTATTGAACTTAATTATTTTAAGAGATCACATCTCATTGAAACTCTCATGATCTTCCCCATTAATTACTCACCATTACTCAAAACCATTAATGATATAAAACTAATCTGTGGCAATAAAAAAAAGTTCTAATCATACCAAGTCTCATCACCTTTTCCATGTCATCATAGCTCACATGCCCCATGCTGTCATAAGCGCGCTGCATCCAATAGACCCATCCTCAGCACAACAACTCTAATACCACCTAGTGAGGTATTGACAAAATAAACTACTTATGTCAAACCTAATCAACCTAATAAACTACTTATGCACAGCCAGGATGCCACACTCATTGTTCTCATCCCAGAATGTCTCCCATGCCTCATCATCTGGGGCCAATGGCTTGAATATGCCAGTCCTGAGATGTGATATAACTAATTTTCAATTGCTAATCAATATGACCTAATTAGTTGATTAATCAAACCAATACACTCATCAAGAAGACATAAAAATATTGCTGCCTCATCCAAGTTGCATGAATGCTGCCTTGACATTGGTCATATACTCATCCAGCAAAATGCTCTTGTCACTGATATGCCCATCATTGAATGCTGAATATATCGCACCTCAGATCAATACCCAATAAAACTTAATTATACACTTCAAATAGAATACCCTCATCAACAAAGTTGCCTCCAATCCATCTGAGGTGCATTTCTTCACATCCTTGCATTTGGTCATCTGTACCAATGTGCTCATGATGCTCATCATTGCCAATGTGCAAATCTGCTTCCATTGGGATTTGGCCTCAGTCCAATTGATCACATAGTTCATTAAAGAACACATAGTTCATTCACACATAGTTCAACCAATAGAAAAAACATTATAATTTAACCAATCATTTTCATGCCAGTAACCTCATCCTTCTCATAGAGCATCCACTGCTGCATCAATTCCAATCTTTGCTCAATAGAGCATGTTTTCTCATCATCCCAATCTCAGCTGACCAAATGATCAAATACATCTAACAGCCATGGCTTCAGCTAATTACTTGCATCTCATCTGTAATAAAAGCAATGACAAATCAAATAGGCAATCCAAAAATCAATGGCAAATCAAATAAGCAATAAAAATCATACCCAGGATCAGGCCAAGAATCTGACAAGAACCCATCCTCTCAAATCTTGGAATCGCTGCTCAAGATGCCTGATCCTGTCCTAAGATGAACCCACTCTATAAATAGAACTCTATATATACATGTCTCTACATATATACATATACCAAAACAAAAAGTATTAATGTATTCATGTAAGAATCTCTGATCAGCCCACCTTGCCCATCCATTCTGCGCTCAACAGAACCCATGTTGCCACACAAGGCACTCATCTGCTCACTGATGGTCCCCACCCATGTCCTGCCCAGGGCAAACAAATCCAAGCTCAAACACTAATACTACTATTGATGACTAATTCATTAATCAATGAACTTATATATTTCCTCATACCCCCAGCTCCTCGTGCTCATAGCCAAATACACCAGCAGCCCAATCAGTCCAATGAGGACTGATGCCAGCACAACCATGATGATCTCATGCGTCATCATTCTGATGAGCTGATAGTAGCTGAATATGCTGATTGCTGATAAGCTGATGAGCCAATCTAACAGCAAGACTCATCCAACAGCCTTGCAATCACCTCATTGGCAAACCTTATCACTGCTCATGTGGGTTCCCATGCAAATCTCATCATTTCACATCCTCTCCCAAAAGCTCCCTTGGAAAAACAACCCATGGATCAATCTAACATGAACACTCATCCAAAAGTTCTCATTGGGTTCCCATGCAAACCTCATCAGTTCAACTACCCCATAGTTAAGTCTCATTGGAAAAAACATCCCATGGATCCAACCCTACCCTTGCCCATCAGCATTGTTTTTCAAAAACCTTTATGCTTATCACCCCACATTCTCTATGGAATGAGGGGGGTTCCTCATGTTGTGAAACTGGGTTCCTCATGCCCATGCTGGATCTCATCCTCATTCTTAGGCTCATAGTATGCCATGCTGCCAGCATTGGTGAATCCACATCCTATCCCATAGGTTCCATTGGACCAATCCTGCTCATCCCCAATGCTCTCACCCAATGGCTCTTCAGGCCTATAGTCCATATCCCCCCACCTGGGGAATCTCTCCAAAGAACCTGATGGAACCCATGGAAGGATCCAACCATAGATACACCAATGATCTGATGCTGCAGGGTGATCACCATCATGCCCCAAACTCATAAAGAATCTCTTCTTCATCCCATCATTCTTGTCCACATACACATACATAAAGTCATGCTGTGACAATCCCAGCATACCCTCAATGATCACCCATACATTGCCCAGCACATGGCTTCTCATGATACCACCCAAGCTCAACAGCTCATTGGTCATCTCCTCTGCTGAGTGCACCATGGCTCAATACCTCACCAATACCCACCCAAACTAATAGCTTGTGCCAAAATATGCCCATGAATCATGGAACCAATGGTGTGCTCAGCAGGTTCTGATGTCCCCATCATCCCTTTCATTCCAATTCTTCCAAATACTAATTCCCTTTCATCCCAACCCTTCCAAATACTAATTCCCCTTCATTTCAATTCTTCCAAATACTAATTCACTTTCATTCCACCATTTGTCCAATTTTCCAATTCATGCTCCAGTCTCATCTCCTCCTCCTCCTCCATATTGGAAGGCCCATCTCCCTATACTCATTGGCAATGTGCCAATCTCTATCAGATTGGGTGTCATAGGCCATCAAATCATACCAATCCTCAACAGGCCACCAATCTGCCCATCCAGAATAGGCATCCACTCTCACCACATAGAGCCTCCATTGCCCATTCCTCCACCAAGCCCTGATATGCATTGATCCAATTGGCATGGCTCTGATCTCTCAGATCTCTCATCAAATTTGTGCCAATAAGCTCTCATGGATCTCATGATGAAAGGGAATTAGTATTTGGGCTCTCATGGATCTCATGATGAAAGGGAATTAGTATTTGGGCTCTCATGGATCTCATCATTCCATCCCATCTCATCTCCTCCTCCTGTCATCATCAGGTCATCCCACTATTAGGGGGATGTGATCTCCAAAACCTCCAATCTCAGACCTTGTTGACCTTGTTGACCTTCTAGGGGGGGGGGGGGGCCCCCGTTGATTAATACGATGTTGACATTACTATGAAGATCGAGCAAGAACTTCCGGTTTCTGCAGAAACCAGGCTTGTCTCGGAAAAAAGAACTTTCAGCAGTCCGATGAGAACGCCTTTTTGGCTTCCAGCGCTGCCATCTGCTCTGCACTCCTCGGAGACAACGGAAGAGAAGGGAAAGCGAGCGTTTCTGCTTATTATCAATTCTCTTCTTCATTTACTTACTTTTTAAACATAAACAAAGCTATGTTTTAAGTAATGTCATTATTGTTCTGTAATTTTCTGATTCAAATTCGTTCATTTGTTCGACGTGCGCTTTCTTTTTCGGCGATTTCGCTGATCTGTCGAGGAACTTGAAGTGGGAGCCGAAGAGTGGATGCGCCTGAATCGGCAACGGACTTCTTTTTAAAGAGTAGCAATGCTTTTTGTTACTAGTAGCGTCCTTGTTACTACTAGTAAGGCACTTGTTACTAGAAGCGATGCACTTGTTCCTAGTAGCTATTTCTTGTTACTAGTAGCGTCCGATCGCTCCTAGTAGCAATGCCCTTTGCTCCTAGTAGCGTCCTTATGGAACCGAGTTCTCTTTTAAAGGAAGAATAGTTCTATTCTTTGATCAAGCTTGTTTTCAAAAACATTGTCCTTTTTGATCTTTAATCATCGAGTAGTTCTTTCTTTGTCCTTTTCTATTCATAGGAACAAGAAGCTACTAGGGGCTCCTGGCATCGCTACTAGGGATCCTGGCCTTACTACTAGTAACAAGAGGAAGCTACTATTCTTCCTTTGTTTCCTCAACTTTCCCCGCCTTCTTTTTGGTCGCCTTGTTGCCACCGGAGGTCTGGGCGATGCTCTCCAGTTCCTGACGCACACACGCCTGCGGTTTAGGTTTAGGCTGAGAATTCAAGTTTGCAACCTGACGTTTTTGTCAAATTCAGACCTGGCATTTAAGGCTAACATGAATTGCTTCGATGGTGTCGGTGTCCTTGGGGACTTCTTGGTTGGCCTTGCGGAGGATGGCGCACAAGTCTCCAGCATGGGCCTCCAGTCGGGCGATGGCCTAGTAGCGATGGCCTCCAAGCTAAGACCGATGGCCCTAGTAGCGTCCTCTTGTTCGTCCGTAGCGATGCCAGGAGCCCTAGTAGCTTCTTGCTACCAATAGCGATGGCATCCAACCTTAAGTTTCGCTTACAATCTAGGAACCAAATGAACAGTGCGCGCGCTTGTTCAAGGAAGCTCCCTTAGCCCTCAGGCGGGGGGGGCTTGCCTGAAGAAGCGTGAGCTATCCTGCGTCCAGTAGCTAGTAGCTTAAGTAAGGTACTAGCTGCCTCTTCTACTAGCTACCTCTAGCTACAAGAAAAAACTACTTCGATTTGCCAAGGACTTCCGCCTTCTCATCCTGTGCTCCTTTGGAGTCTGGACAGAAGAAGCAAATGGCAAGACCTGAGAAACGGAGAAGAGACTAACAAGCAAACCCGGAAGAAACACGACCCAAAGGGAACTGCGTCGAACACCATGTTTGAAGCAACGCAACGGTCGGCCTTTTTTGCCAGCGCGACCTGTTCGACCAATGCGATGAGTGTACTCCTCAAAGAACTGAAAGCACGAACATGGGAAACTCGCAAGTTCGATTGGACGAACTACCTCAGAGGACAAGTTCTTGTTTTCGAAGACATGTTCTTGATACTCAGTACTAAGTGCATCTAAAACGGGCAAGACAAGGGGTTTCCAGAAGAGGGTGCACGGAGAAAGCCTATAACAATATAAATATTTGCGAACTAATCAAGTATTGAACACAAACAGCTTATGGTACAAGCCACAAATGCGTGAAATACATGATGCCCCGAGAACCGCCTTTTTAACTCTCTGTGCGCAAATGGACTAGGGGCTCCTGTCCTTACTACTAGGAACAATAAGCTACTAGGAGCAAAGGGCATCGCTTCTAGGAGCAAGGACGCCGCTAGAGGCTCCTGGCCCCTTTTTTGACCAACTCTGTGGTGCAAATGGGCGAAGAAAGAGGTGCGGTCCGTAGATGGCGTTTTCGCCGAGGCGCCCCGGTTGGAACTCCCAAAAGCGACTTGTTTGGCGGTCCGCGCAAGTCAGGGGAGAAGGATATGCAGATTGGCAGAAAAGTCCGCAAAGCAAGAAGGAAGCGGTCCTGCCAGGACGCTACGATTGGGGCTCCGGGCCTTACTACTAGGAACAAGAAGCTACCAGAGGGCATCGCTAGTAGTAACAAGAAGCTACTACTGCGAGCAAGGCTGATCAATGCAGCTTGAGCAAATTCACTTTGCTTTTGTTCCTGCAAGACAAGCAAGGCCAAATGATTGCCGCGCAAGGCATTCACCCAAAGCTCAGCCAGCTGCTGTGCAGCAAATTGAAGGGTAGTTGGCCCCAAGTAGGGCTTGTTTCTCATCAGCTTTGATCGGCCTTACCGATTCTTTTAGGCTCCGGGGGATGTGGGGAAGCCCAACTAACTCTATCTTCTTCGTCTCAAGCCTTCGATGCAATCTCAAAAATGGCAGTAGTGACATCATGTGACATCTACCAAAGGCAGTAGCGTGGAGCCCTTGCTGGCACTGGAAAGTGACATTGACATTGCACTTGCGCCACTCGCCGTTCTCACACACCCAGAAGTAAAGGAACTAGCCAGAAGGAGAAAATGACATGTGGGACATTGGCATACATTGACATTATGGAGTACTACTAGGAACAAGAAAGTACTAGGGGCTCCTGGCCTCGCTACTAGGAGCGATCGGACGCTACGAACGGAGCAAAGGGCATCGCTACGAACGGAGCAAGAAGCTATTAGTAGCGATGCCCACCCACCCACCGGACCCACCCCAACCTGTCAACAGGCGAACGTCCTCTTTCCCCTCTCCTCAATGGTGAGCGGAAAAGTGTAGTTGATGACCAGCTCAACATCCTGAGAACGAAAACAGCAGGACTTCTTGAAAACTTCAAGTAGAACAAGTAGAACAAGTAGAACATGTTCGATGTATTTGTCATCTTACCTTTATCCTCATTTATCGATCTCCTGAACATCTAAGCCGCGGCCAGCCACGTCAGTAGCAATCAACGGCGTCCTCAGGGACACATGGACAAACAAGCACATGTCTTAGGCCACGTAGGCCATAAGGAGGTGAGATGAGCTGAGATGAGTTCAAGTAAGTAGCTTAAGTATCGATTTAATGCCCTTTGCTCCTAGTAGCTTCTTGCTCCTAGTAAGGCCAGGAGCCCCTAGTAGCGTCCTCGCTCCTAGTAGCGATGCCCTTGTTACTAGTAGCTTAAGTTACTTAAGTATCGATTTAATTTAAATTTAATTGAAGTGGTTACTAGGTAGCGCAACTCGGAGGAAGCAAGTAGGACGCACTCGAAGCGACTGGCCTCCAACCACCCTAGTAGCTTTCAGCCTTTCTCTTCTATTCAGTCTATTCTCTTCTCTTGTCTTCTCTTCCAAAGGTTCGGCTCTTCCAAAACCACCAAAGCGTTTGGGTGGTCTGGGTTGCAAAGAATGCAATACTCTTTGCAGCTCTCCGTACATGTACCATCATCAAGTCTGCTCTGAATCGAGCTCTTCACTCCGCATCTCCGTCTGCGTTCTGCCGAGCGTCTTCCGAGTGGCCTTGAAGTCGGCCAACGCTTGCGTCCGCTTATCTTGGGACATGTCCTCAGCACGTGCTTCAGCACATCAAAACAACGAACTGCTTTTTCGTCTCAAAAACACGAAGAACGAAAAGAACACTTCGCCCCTTTGTGTCCCACATGAGCTTGGCTGGCAAAGAGCGCACAGCTCGTTTCTAGGCAGCTTGCGGCCTACCCGGTACTAGTGGCGATGGTCCAACCTAATAGCGTCCATTTTCTGGTCCCCTTCCTCAGCTGTGAACTCCTTGCAAGGCGATGACCTTCTCGTAGCCTTTCTCCCACCTCGAAAGGACAACAGCGACGGCGTATGGAGCTTCAACGCCAAAAGAAAACACCAGTCAGTGGCAGAGATGTCCGGTTGGCAGAGATGTTACTGCTTTACCAACATAGTGTTCCTCGCTTAAAGAAAACAACTTTGGAAAACTGTTTCAGAAGCTGGCAAGAATGTTTCCAGCCAGGCGATCTCCTCGATGAAGGAACAAGAAGGAACATATGGCATGCTCTTCTGTATCAGTAATCCCTATTGATGCTTCAGTCCTTCTTGTACAATCCGAAGATGATCACCTAAGAACACAGAACTTCGGATGAAGTTGGCATGTTTTCTTCAGCAAAAGCAAATCTTCTTGTCTTCATAGTGATCGCAGCGGCCTTCTTGTCTGGACTGTAGTGCTTTTTGAGGTAGAACAGCAAGCGGGTTTGCTTTTCCTGCGAAAGCGTCGTAACTTACGACTGTTGGCAAGCACCACAAGCACCACAAACACCAGTGCAGGCGTGTGCAGTCCTTTTCGTTCTTTATGACCTGACGACAACGCGAACGCTTGCTGGGTGCCCGCTTGACTGATCTTGTGTGTGGTTTTCCCGACTTGGAAGGCTTTTCGGGTTGAAGACGGAAGGTCTTCTCTCATATGAAAATAGTCATTTTAATAGCGATGGCCTCCAAGCTAATACCGATGGCCCTAGTAGCGTCTTTGTTCCTAGTAGCGATGCCAGGAGCCCCTAATAGCTTCTTGTTCCTAATAGTAAGGCCAGGAGCCCCTAGTAGCGTCCTTGCTCCTAGAAGCCATGGCCTCCAACCTAATACCGATGGTCTTCTCTCAAATAGCCTCCACAATTTGTCTGATTGCCGTGTTGGCAACGACGCCCTCATCCACTGAACCGATGCCAACCTGCAAGATGGTTCTCATGTTGGATTCTGAGCTCAGCTTGAAGAGGCAAACAAAGGCATACAGTGATGCTTCATCAGGCTTCATCTGAATCCCCAGAAGGCTTCATCAGGCTTCATCGTGCAACAAAGTCCGTGCAACGAGCGCCAAACGTGGACAGGCTCACTGAGGAACTTCGTGGCCAAGGCATGCACTGTGGCCTAAAGAAACGAGAAACGAGACAACATACGACACAGTTCCAACAACAAATAGAAAAACAACGACTTGGCCGACTAGCCCAACGCGACGGCCAGCGGCCCGAACCGGGTTTCCGAGCGGGCCATGTGGCACCTCACAAAAACCCAACAGACGGTGTTTGCCCCGGCGAGAAAGGAAGACTTGCTTGGCATCGATGTCAGATCTGAAGACGTGAAGCAGCTTTCAGCTGCGAAACGGGAGTCAGATGCTTCACACTCCAAATGTCCCATCTGGTTTGTTGCTTCAGTGCAGGCCGGTTCCAATCAGCTGGTTCGATTGTTTTTCTCAGGACTTGACTGAACATACACGTCTGACGCCTCACCACACGCAGCACGAACGACAACGTGCGACCCAAATAAGGCGCCACAAAAACTGAGCGTCCAACTTACCAGCCTGCAGCGTGAGGCGGCAAGCGCGTTGCACAGGAGACGCAACGAGGAGACGTCAACGCGGATCGTTCCGATCGTTCCATTCGCCTTGGGCATCTTGCTGATCAAAGCTTTGACAGAGTCAATGAAACCCATGTCGAGCATGCGGTCAGCCTGTCCGTTTCGGGTGAGGACAGCTAAGCTGTCGACAGAAAGAAAAAAACAAGAAGCAATGTCAAGCAATGGCCTCCAACCTAATAGAAAACTATAAGCGAAGATCTTTCTGATGCCCTAATAGCAATGCCCTTTGCTCCTACTATTAGCAGCTTTTTTTGCTTCCTATGAGCGTTTGATTTTCAGTATCCTGTTGGTCTGTCGGCTGTTTCGAACCATCTCGAACATGGCCCTTCAGCCCTCTTCGATTTGGATCGGTCTAACTTGCTCAAGGCAAACATGGCCACGCTCAGAAGCTTTTTGGTTCCAACTCAACCTCTTTTGGTTCCGACCTCATCTGAATGGGAAAACATCTATGTTTCAATTTGAGAGCCAAGCTTTTTCGGAGCAAAAGTCTGTTTGGTGAGCACTGTAAAGCCGTGGTGACACGCGAGCTAGTTTTGCGAGAACTTTGATGTAACGTGTGCAGCCTTTGATCCTTGTCTAACCCGTGTTATCTTTTTCTAAATCTAGAATCTGGACCTTGCTTCCCTCCTTTCCTTCTTTTCTTCTTGTTTACTCAAGGGCCTCATCAAGCACCAAATACTGCCTCACATCATCTGTGCGCACAACGGACGCACGAAGTGAATCAAACAACGCCTCCAACCTAATAGCTTCTTGCTACTAGTAGTAAGGCCAGGAGCCCCGTTCGTAGCGTCCTTGCTCCGTTCGTAGTTCGGAACTTGGTTTCCACTGTTCGGTGGTCTTTCTGCCGATTCACTTCGAGCGTTTTTTCTCATTTCGCTCACAACTCCAGGTCCAAGGTCACGGCACGTAACTGAGGTCTAAGGTGGATTCCTCTACCAGGTCCTCGATTGCAACAAATTGTTCCGACCCAATGGACGATGTGTGTTGCTTTTTTCAGTGCTTCGCTGTTTTATGTTTCAAATTCTTGCTTCTAATAGCTTCTTGTTACTAGTAGTAAGGCCAGGAGCCCCTAGTAGCGTCCTTACTTTCTCAAAATGTATATTTCCGTTCATGCTGCCTTTTTGGAGAATATTTTGTTTACACATTCAACATCCGCTTCTCACTTTGTCTACTCTCCTGCAGGCGTCCAGGTGTGCAAATGGCCATGTCAACTCCGGTCTCGGTAATGGCCTGAAACGGACACAAGCCAGAAACACGCAGCATCGAGCCATGACCGGTTTCAGTACCTCGTTACTAGTAGCTTCTTGTTACTAGTAGCGATGTCCTCCAACCTAATATCTTCTTGCTACTAGTAGTAAGGCCAGGAGCCCCTAGTAGCGTTCTTGCTACTAGTAGTAATGAACATGTTTGAACCAAAGATCAAGGAACGATCGATGCAATTGAAGCAAGACCGTTTGATGCCAACACAAATCACATCAGGCTTGTGGAATTTGAATCGTTCAACAACACATTACACTCGCATAGACCCCAGATAGCAACTACGTAAGTCTAAGAATCGGGAAACAAGTGAGGAGACAAGACAGCGGCGTTAGACCAAAACGCCGATCCGCAAAGTCGAGAAGTACGAAACCCAGATTAGCTTTCAGCTATTTCAGGTATACTACATGTCCTATTTCATCAACTATGTAACTATTTGTTGGAAGCCATTGCTACTAGGGTGGAGGCCCAGGCCATCGCTACTAGGTTGGAGGCATCGCTACACTAGGGTGGAGGCCATCAGTATTAGGTTGGAGGCCATGGCTCTTGGGTTGTCTTTCAGAATGCTTCTTACGTTCGGTCGACAAACGATTCCACACCTGCCGTTGTTCCCTTTTGGGCACACCGCCATAAATGCACTGCACTGGGTAGAGACCCTGCAAACAGGACCGACTTGTGCAACACCCTTCAGTCCACATGAGTCCGAACAGATTCGATCGGCTTTTTGTTGCTTAGTAGCATCCTTGCTAGTAGTAATGCCAGGAGCCCCTAGTAGCGATGCCAGGAGCCCCTGGTAGCGTCCTTGCTCCTAGTAGCGATGCCCTGTGCTCCTAGTAGCTTCTTGCTCCTAGTAGTATGGCCAGGAGCCCCTAGTAGCTTCTTATAGCTTCTTGTTACTATTTATTTAAGAAGATGTGTTACAAGTCTAATCCAAATTGCAATCACGCGGGTCCTCGTCTCCGGCAGTCAATGCTTTAACCAGCTCACAGCACACCTCGCTGTTCGAGTTGTCGGCAAGAATCTGCAAACTGAGTTTCCCCACCTCTGCAATCTGCATGGCTAGCTCCCTGTCACACATTTGCGCAATTGCACCAAAAGACGGTAGGAGCAAGGACGCTACTAGGGGCTCCTGGCCTCGCTACTAGGAGCAAGAACGCTACTAGGGGCTCCTGGCCTTACTACTAGGAACAAGACGTTTGAAGAGTTTCCAGCTTCGTCTTCGTCCTTGTTGGTGCCATGGCCACGAACCGGGGAGAAGCACAGGGCTGCTCAAAGACATCCAGCTCACCCAGCCTGTCGGTCTGAGTCCACGCCGGTTTCGACCAACAGGTAACATCATGTAGCGATGCCCTTTGCTCCGTTCGTAGCGATGCCAGGAGCCCCGTTCGTAGCGTTCTTGTTACTACTAGTAAGGCACTTGTTACTAGAAGCGATGCACTTGTTACTAGTAGCTTCTTGTTCCTAGTAGTAAGGCCAGGAGTCCCTAGTAGCGTTCTTGCTCCTAGTTGTTTCTAATAGCAATGGCCTCCCTAACACGCCGTATCTTACCGTCTTTCTGCATCGAAACTTTCTTCCTTTTTCCGCAAAGGAGAACGCGTCTAATCCCTGCGAGGACGGAAGGTGCGGCGAAGGTGGGGAGCAAAGCTACTAGGAGCAAAGGGCATCGCTACTAGGAACAAGAAGCTACTAGGGGCTCCTGGCCGTACCTGTAGGAGCAAGGACGCTACTAGGAGCAAGAAGCTACTAGGGGCTAGGGGTCCCGTTGGGGGAAGTTTTTGGACGCGTCAGCAGGTTCGCAGCCTAGCACGGACGGGATGTGTGCGGTTTACGTCTGGTGCAAGTCTTGTGCAGAAGGCTCCACCTTCCGTTCCTTCTTGACTTGCACATCCGAAGTGGCCATTTTGGGGTAGCTTCTGTGAGCCGGCTGCATTTTTGTTTGAGTAAATATTTATCTCAGTGAGCTATTAAACGATATTTGGCTGAGATAACTGGTTTTCAATACTATTGAATCAAGTTCTTTAACCGCTTTGTATTCTTGGTCAAACTCTGTCAGCAATAAGACTGATGCGGAGATCATTCGAACATGCGCGTTTGCATGATGTGAAGTCACAAATGTATGCCTCTCGTTTCCAGCTTTCAACATGTTTCAACATGTTTCAACTCTTCACTTGTTGCAGTAGCGCTTTGAGTCTTTAGCGGTCATCGCTAGGGCTGCTAGTAGGAGCAAGAATGCTACTAGGGGCTCCTGGCCTTACTACTAGGAGCAAGAAGCTACTAGGAACAAAGGGCATCGCTACGAATGGAGCAAGGACGCTAGTAGGTTGGAGGCCATCGCTATTCTTTTTCGATCCCCTTAGAGTAGCGGTTGAAAATGATTCCCCGGGATCGTAAGGGAGGTCTGGGTGGGCGATCCTTGGCAGAGTTCGGACGAAAGGACTCGGTAAGGGCTGAAGGATGTTCCACATCCAAGGGCCCGAAGAGCTTCTATGTCCTTTGTTCCCAGTAGCGATGCCCTTTGCTCCTAGTAAGGCCAGGAGCCCCTAGTAGCGTCCTTGCTCCTAGTTCCTTCTCCTTCTAAGTATGCGTTTGTTCCATTTTCTTTCTATTTTCCCATATGGAGTCTCCTAGGTTCCCGGAGTTTGTTCTCCGACAGTGCGTGTGTGCTTTTAGTCTGAACATGTGGAAGTTAAATTGAATTGAGTTAAAATAAACGCATAGTCTTGAATTTAATTGAATCACTTAACTTAAGTTTAAACGTCTTAATTTAATTGATGTTAAATCGAGCTAAAATAGAATCACCTCAAAACTAGATTGGAGTTGCATTAGAGTCAAGTTATAGTTAAATTATAATGGTAGAAGTAGATGAGAACTCGGTGAAGCTAAATGAGACTTTGATTAGATCAACACCTTGAATCTTGGAACTAGAAGTAAGTCAGAACCAAATGATAATGACGGCTTAATGAAAGTAGACTTGAAATAGAACTATATACGTTGGAACCAAAGTCGAATTGACTTCGACTAGACCTGGCCACTCTTTAAATTGCAAGTTAAATGAGACATAGACCGGCACCACGCAGCCTCACGCACTTCTGAAGCTGCTCCAACATCGCTTGCAAACGCCAAATGCGCGCGGACTCGTCACATCTGTGACTCTTCGTGACTCTTAGCGCCCACGTTTTCTGCGAGCAAAGTGCATCGCTTCTAGTAACAAGTGCCTTACTGGTAGTAACAAGAAGCTACTAGGAGCAAAGGGCATCGCTACGAACGGAGCAAGAAGCTACGTCGCGCCAGTCTCGCCTGGACATGGAGAGGTATGGCATCGCAAAGGCCAAGGTCTTTCCACTGCCGGTCCTTAAGGTTGGAGACCGCCAGACCGCTGCCTGTTCTTTGGAGACCGCTTCGGAAAGCCATTCCCAAAATCCGAGACACTTGGCGATGCCGCAAACGTCACTCTTCCTCAGATGTCACTCACAGGGTCTGATCGAATCTTAAGCTCTCAAAAACTTGGCTATGGCTATAACTATCTCTGATGTTCTCCTTGTCCTTTCTGCCGTTTTCCTGAAAAGACAAAATCTTCTCTGCGTTTCTTTTCTTTGTCCCATATTCGCCTAGGTGCTGCATAATTAACGGCCAAGTGCACGCCTTTGGACACCACTCTCACAAGAAAGGCGTCGAATTCGGAAAGACGGCACAGCCACTGCAAATCCGCCTGAATCGGAGTTGGTTTCTCGAACTTCTTCTGGCAATACCTCTGATTCTCAATTCAAGATAATTAGAATTTGCAAATCGACTATGATTTCCACAAAGGATAATGACAAAGCAGTGTTTTCTTCTTTCTGTGGTTTTCCTATGTCCTTTGAACTTCTCGTTCATCAAGGTGATATTTTCGTGGCACTTTGTCAGTCGCTTTGCAAAGCCATCACACTGGAAGCCCGCCAAGGGAGTAATGTCCACATCCTGGCTTTCCAGCGGGTGGACGTCGTATCTGCACCAGATAGATAGATTTCACAAAAGCAAAGAACACAAAGCAAGGTCCAAAGAAGAAAACGAATAAGACAGGACCAAATATGTCGAAAAAAGGAGGTACATGTCATAGATCAGTCATGTTGGATATCCAATTAGATCCAATTGCTTGTGGCGCGCTGAACGGAACTGAGTTGGTATTTGTCTTCTTAGACTTGAGATGACTTGAGTGTCTCGACTTCGCCTTGCCTTCCCCGCCGGCAGATGCACTTTGATGCCATGCTCTTCAAAGAAGGCCTACGGAGGAACGGAGGAACCAACGCTAAACACGAAACCAACGTGTGTTTTCTCGTGTCGTTTATGTCGTTTGGTTTGTCGTGCCTTGGCTTTCTCCAAGGTCAAACGGGACGCCGAAGCGGACTTCTTCGCCTCCAAACCGTCCAAACGTCTTGTCCGCTCCGAAAGGCACCGCCCTTTGTACGGACGTAGTAACAAGTGCCTCGCTAGTAGGAACAAGTGCCTTACTAGTAGTAACAATGTTTGCTATTAGTAACAAGTGCCTTATTATTAGTAACAAAAATAATTCAATTAGAATTGTAATTACTAGCGTCCGATCGCTCCGTTCGTAAGGCCAGGAGTGGAAGAAAAACGACTTCATGATGCCTTAGTCTCAAGCTCGGTCTCCGTCTTCCCGTTCTCATGCTTTCTCTTGGCACCTTTGGCACCTGCCATGCACCTGCGAAGCGAAACGAGGTGAGGAAGCAAACGCTAGTGGAAGCAAAAAAGCTACTAGGAGCAAAGGGCATCGCTAGAAACAAGGACGCTACTAGGGGCTCCTGGCCATACTACTAGGAACAAGAAGCTACTAGGAGCAAAGGGCATCGCTATTAGGGCATCAGAAAGGTCTTCGCTTTTAGTTTGCTATTAGGTTGGAGGCCATCTCTAGTAGGGTGGAGGCCATTGCTCTGAAAGACAAACCGTGAAAAAAAAGCTCCGGGTGAACCCCAAAAGCTCGGCTTCGCGTCTTGCGACATCCCACACCGCACCTGCCACTCCCCACCGCACCTAGTAGCGATGCCCTTTGTTCCTAGTAGCGTCCTCTTGTTCCTAGTAGCGTGGCACTTGTTACTACTAGCGTGGCACTTGTTCCTAGTAGCGTCCTCTTGTTCCTAGTAGTAAGGCCAGGAGCCCCTAGTAGCGTCCTTGCTCCGTTCGTAGCGATGCCCTTTGCTCCTAGTAGCAACTTGTATACTCCACAACTTGTATTCTCTTTGTTTGTGAAAATTTCGGTTGAGCGAGTCACACCAAATCAGCTGAAGTGGTCAGTGGTAACAACATGTCATGACTGTGCCATTCTGCTGTTTGCTCTGAGACGGCTCTGGATCACACGACAAAAGCTTCCCTAATCTAGGAACCAAATCATTAGTGCACGCGCTTCTTCAAGGAAACTCCCCCCCGCCCTTGAAGAAACATGAGCTATCCTGCGTCCTAAAGAACCTGAATGTTGGTGCCTGTAGGAGGCTCTGACTGAAAAACAGTTTGTAATGGCAAGCTGTGCGCCTGCCTGTGGCACTGTGGCACTGTTTATGCTGTGTGGTCTGCCATGTGACACGGCAAAACTGTTTGCATTGCGTTTTTTCTGTGCCACCTCAGGCCAATCACATCATCAGGCATCCCATTTTCGTCCGAACACTATGCGACCATGCGATGCTTGTTTTGCATCGCGCGACGCTCGCGGATGCGAACGCGGATGCGGTTGGCATCCTTCGAGTGAAACTCGGTGAGATTTTCCCGCGAATCGTGTGTCTCGTTCTTCACTTTTGAACTGTGTCGTTCTGGCTTCCTTGACGAAGGGGTGGAGGCCCCGTTGCTTCGCTTTGCTTGGACGAACGAAGACCTTCGCGTCTCGAACCTTCTCTCCGGGACGGGCTTAGCCAAAGATGCCCGGATTGGCCGCATGCACCTCGGCGACACTCGTAGATTCCTTTGCTAGTAATTACAATTCTAATTAAATTCGTTACTAATCATAAGGCACTTGTTACTAATAGCAAACATTGTTACTACTAGTAAGACACTTGTTTCTAGTAGCTTCCTACCCCCCCAACAACGCACATCTCGTCTCGACTGGTGGCCCACCTGGCCCAGCATGCACCTTTCCTCCTCTGGAAAGGAGGAAAGTGATCGGCGCAGTAGCCTTGCGACGACCAAATGGCTCTTTGGAAACGATCCAAGAAGTGAGAGTGTCTTTGGACAAACTTTCACAGCTTGTTGATTGACTTTGTGGGCTGCCTTATTCAACAGCTACTAGGGGCTCCTGGCATCACTACTAGGAGCAAGGACGCTACTAGGGGCTCCTGGCCGTACTACTAGGAACAAAAAGATGCTACTGGAGGATGCTACTAGGGGCTACTAGGACGTACTACTATCGCTTTTCAGTCCTTTTGGTGCCTAAGGCGTGCCGCTTGTGAGGCCTTTCGCCATTCCGCCTTGCTTCAACCGAGGTGCTTTTTGTGGAGGGCACGGACCCAAACATGGGTCTCTGCATAGGCGGTCTCCACATAGTGAGGTACCTTGACACAAACTGAATCGCTTCAACAAAGCAGATCAAGTCTAGAGACCAAATTGCGGCACATTCAACTTTGAGAATGGAAAGAAAGAAAGAAAGGCCCGAAGACCGAAGACCCGAAGATAAAGGGAAGCAAGGAACCTGCTAGCGATGGTTTACGCCGTTCGGCTCAAAGTTGCCTGGTCCAGCACGGCCATGTCTCCCAGTGTCGTGCCTTCCAGAAACGCACATGCGTCCGATCGCTCCTAGTAGCGATGCCAGGAGCCCCTAGTAGATTCTTGTTCCTAGTAGCGATGCCCTTTGCTCCTAGTAGCTTCTGGTTACTAGTAAGGCCAGGAGCTACCAGTAGCGTCCGATCGCTCCGTTCGTAGAAATGCCCTTTGCTACTAGTAGCTCTCTATCCACTTGTTTGCGGTGCTCAAGAAAGTCTCCCTAAACATCGAACCACAGGACTTTCCTACATCCAGTAGGTAGTAACAAAAGGGGTCCAAAGGTTAAGTTTTCCTAAAAATCTAGGAACCTCATGAATAGTGCCCGGGCATCCAGGTGGGGAGGGTCTTTGAAGAAGGGTGAGCTATCCTGCATCCATATGTAGTACCTTAAAAAGCAAGGAGCTTACTAAATTAATTGAGTAGCGGACAAAACAATGTCTTCTTCTTCTTCTCGTCTTCTCGTCCCCCTAGTAGCGTCCGATCGCTCCTAGTAGCGATGCCAGGAGCCCCTAGTAGCGTCCTTGCAAGGTGCTAGTAGCTTCTTGTTTCAATTCTAATTAAATTCTATTTATGTATTTCTTGTTTCTAATAGCTTCTTGTTACTACTAGTAAGGCACTTGTTACTAGAAGCGCCCGATCGCTCCTAGTCTTCGTTTTCCCCGCACACCTGCTTCCACGACTTCGGGGTCTCGACGTCCCAAGACCTGCATGAGCGCTATGGTTTCACAACTAGTCTTGTTACTGCCAGGAGCTACTTAGTTTCTCAACCAGCTAGTAGCGATGCCCTTGGTCTTTTTCATGTTTTGCTTTTCTCGCCTCTAATCGCACGCGACCTGCCCTGATGAAGTACATCATGTCACCCTGAAAACAGTCCGAACTCAGAACAGAGTGGTGGAGAGGGTCTAAGTAAGTCGTCGCTCCTCTTCATATTGCGAATAAAGCTTCTCACCCGGCCAGAAAGCCAAGTCCTATCGCATGGCATTGGCCGCGACGTCGACGACGTCTCTGTGGCACTGCGAATGGCATCATGCAAATACATCTTTTTGCTTGGAAGAACGAACCACTCTGAACTGTTGCTTTGCTTTTATGCTTGTTTTTTCTTCTTACCTTGTAACTCTTTCGACACTCTTGCTATGTTGTTACCTAGTTCAGGCCCCTGCAAAAAGCAAATAAAGCGAGAAGAAAAATGAAATTCAAACAAGGAAACAAATGGAGTTTCTTGCTCCTCCACAATCTCAGCCACTTGTGCCACAAAGCTCTTCGAGCAAGCTCGGAAGACCTGACGGTTTCAACTCATCGCATTCTGCTTGTCCCAAATCCACAGTCCACGGAATTTAGAGCGTTCCATTCAACTCTTGATTCTCCAATTTCACGTCTCCAACTTCTTCTTTTCAATCTGCCTTTTCGACCTTTCTTGCTCTCATTCAGACATTTGGTGTCTCTCTTCTCCCCTATCCTTTTGCTTAACTTCTTGCCCCAAAGGTTTACACCGTTCAGTTCTGTCTTTCCATTATTTTCCCGTTTGCCGTCGCTTTTCCTTTTCCAACTAACTAGTAGTTAGCGCTATTAGAATTGAAGTAAACAACCTACCTGCTGCTGCAGCGCATCACCCAGCACGACAACAAACAACAAACCATGACACTGACAAATCACAATGACAACACCAAACATAACTACAGCACATATCGCCAATCGCCCGACATGACAGCAAACACCACTCATGTTGTATCAGTCACCCCGACTGGTTCTATTCTGCCAGTGTATCTGGGTGGGTGGGGACAGCTCTGGCTTCTACAGGTCATATAGCTTTTGGCCTTCTTCAAGTTGATGTCCGGTCCCTGTTCCTTACAGCCTTTACAGTTTCCCTATGGTTTGCATAGACAAAAAACAGGCCTTAACCTTTATTCTCTCCTCCAAATTGACGGCTCTTCCAAAAGGTTCTCATCAGATCTGTCCCCCTTGCCTGTCGATGCCTATGTTGATCATCGACGGAAAACATATAGAGTCTATTGTTTCTACTAGCTTCTTGCTCCTAGTAGTAAGGCCAGGAGCCCCTAGTAGCGTCCTTGCTCCGTTCGTAGCGATGCCCTTTGCTCCTAGTAGCGAACCTTATAGAGTCTATCAGTCTATGAGTCTATCAGCTCTGCACGAATTGGCTTCACCAAATTCAACACACCTGGCCTCACTTTGCTCCACGCAATCGGGCACATTCTTGGCACCTCATAAAACGAAGTTTCTTCACACAGCATCGCAGCTTTCCGTGTTGCTCGTCCTTTGTCTTTTTCTTTGTTCTATATAGTCTATAGATGGTTCAATGGTTTCCTGTCTTCTCCTTTGTCGCTTTCCTTCACTCAGTGATCTGCTTCCATCACCGACGGGGAAGCCGAACGCGTCCAGGATCTCACCGCCCGCCAAAACTCGAACGGACGCGGTGTACCTGAAGCGGTCGGCTATCCCAACTTCAGCGCTTCACTTCTCAATATTATCTAACTATATCTAACTAGTAGGCCTTCAACCTAAGCTTCATGAACTTCTCAATTCTAATCTCAAAACCTCTCAGTTCGCTTCAGCTTTCCCTTCTTTCCCTTCTACTCGACAGGTGAGATCGGACGACGACGAATGACCAGGGCGTACGGCAACATGTCGTCCTCCATCAGATCGTCATCCAAAGCCTTTTGAATGGTGGACTGCCTGGTTCCGACCATGTCTGACCATGTCCGCGTTGCGTCACATGTCAAAACGAATTTGTGAAAGAACTGAGAGTCACACTGCAACAACAAGCAATCACATGCTGCCGTGGATCTGATGGTCACCTCACAGTGGCGACCACAACTCCGTCGACAGGTTTCAGCTTGTTCGTCCAGAGAGAAGACATAAAGCAAGAACACAGAATGAAAGAACATGAAGAAGAACAGTTGGAAACAAAAAGACAATTGAAACAAAATCATGAAGGATGTCTTTTCCTGAAGGTTGTTATAACCTCTCATAATTAACATGGTAGGAACTTAGGAACGCTTGCCACTCGGGTGCCGCTGTGCTGTGGCCCCGGGCGTTGGGCTCGGGACACTCGAGGCCCATGAAGTGATGCAATCCCACGTAGCCACCTGACGGAGAAAGAAGTGGAGCTACTAGGGTGGAGGCCATTACTAGTAGCAAGGTTCGCTACTAGGGGCTCCTGGCATCGCTACTAGGAACAAGGACGCTACTAGAAGCTCCTGGCCTTACTACTAGTAGCAAGGTTCGCTACTTCTCTTTTGGGGGGAGAGAGGGTAGGCCACTAGTAGAAGAGAAGAAGAGAGGTAGCTAGTAGCTAAAGCTACTAGCTGGACGCAGGATAGCTCATGCAACT